AATTGACTCGAAATTTGATCCCCAAAGTCGCCACTAGGGCAGTTCAGATCCCCAAAGTCGCGTCTAGGACAGTTCCAATTTGATCCCCAAAGTCGCCTCCAGCACCACCACACAAATTACACAAATCAGCACACACAAATAACACAAATCAGCCACCTCCACCACCTTCCGGCGCTCAGATCGACGCTATGACGACTTCGCAGCAATCGCGGCCAGGAGAGGTGCATCGAAGCTCGAAAACCACCCCCAAAAATCTGAGAGGAACAAGATGGAGAGGGAGAGGAAGAGTGGTCTCCGGCAGTGGACGAAGACGGCAGGCAAAGACGGGCGGCGACGGCGGGCGAAAATGGATGAAGGCGATGGCGGGCCAGAAATGGAGAGAGAGAGAGAGAGAGGAGAGTGTGCTTTTAATTAGGTTTTGGTGGTTACGTTTGTTTTATAAATATTTAGTTATTTTATAAATTAATTTTTATAATATTATTATTAACATTAATTAAATATAAAAAACCTATATCTATATATAAAATATCTGATTTTTGAAACTTAAACCTTAAAATCTGATTTTAGAATTTGAATCTCCAAAAGTAGGGAATTGGGTAATTTTCACTTGGATTAATTAGACTTATCTTTATTACTTGCTAGCAAGAAAAAAGATGATAACTCCCTAAAATCTATTCTCTCTAAATCCAACTCGTGATCGTGAATCGTTCGTGGTATTGGAGTTCCAATTTGTTAGTCATGTGGATGTCGGTTAGAGGCGGGCATGTATGCTGAGATTGTGGTAGATAGGAGCAAGAATCATCCCAACTTGTAGAAATCTGCAAAGGTATAAAACCTATCATGGATTCCATCTAAATACAAAGTTGATTCGACTTTTGGGTATTGAAGCTTGTTTAATTTCCGTTGTGCACGTAAATATCCAACACAATGAAGGTGATTTATTCTTTGTTCTGCTATTGATTAATTGCATGCATAATCTCAATGAACATAAACTGATAGACATCTATCACTTGATATGAGAAAATGCATTGTCCTCGATTTCGATATCTGAGTAATTTATGCTTAATTTTCTCATGTCTTTTACTATTACTGCCTACTGCCGTTCAATGAACAATTAAAAAGTAACTATTCAATACATCTATATCATGTTTGACTTGTAGAATTCGACGAGATTGAACGGTTCAATGAACCTGATTTTACCATCATTTTTCTCGTAAAGGTCAATCTTGTGACAGAAATATACAATGGGAAATAAACATTTACCTTACAACGAGAGCATAGTTTGACACCATGGAATGTTAAATTATTGATCTTGATCTCTGTCCATAAATCCTCGGAAAAGGGTTCACAACCATTAACAAGGATACTGCAGGCAAAGGGTAAATTTTTTACCTTTCCACATGAACTCAAGCAGTACATGCCAAATGAAAATAACACAAGACTGTAAAGTGGATTCCATCAAAACTATGATGTATCTTACAAGCTATCTTCAAAATATATCGAAGTTTCCGTATGAAATCTAACCATTAATTTGGACAAAGGTACGAGTTGTGTGTCCAATAATCTGCATTAATCTTTGTTTTGGAAAAAAGGTATCCAAATATGTCTTTTCGATTGTTTAACTACTGCTAAACTAGTTCCTATGTCAAACACCTTTATTCACATGAAGTAGACGATGCGTTCATGCACCAGCTACCATACCTTAGTCCTATAAGAACCTAACCTTCAGGTCTATTCTGTAATAACATTATGAGACGAGTTTAGGGAGTTACTTGGGTCTGAACCGATTGACAGGCAGAGGCTCCTTGAGAAGAGCATTTAACGCGTCCAATGATTCCTGCAAGATACACATTTGTTGATAACTGTATCTCGGGTTTCAAGGTATTTGTGTGAATATCATCATCCAACAAATAGTTAGAAGAAATGGGGAATCCCTCGACTTGCTGGATGATATCTAGTGTACATGTTGTGAAAACTAACCTGAGATAGCAAGAGGAATGGATACTGGTCCGAAAACATAACTTTATAACCGCGGGCATAATTAGGATCCACATCCCTAATCTCAGTTGCTACACGAAGGAATAAAATTCAATTATTTGCATTAACAACATAGTCACGCTCATACCTTACTCAATACGGCAGCTATAAATTTTGTCAAAATCCAGCTTATACAGAGACAGTCATAAATTACACTTGAAGATAAATGATTACAAATTGGCAGCTCAATACACAAGAATCCTTAGGACTGAGAGCTCTACCTTCATTAAAACGCACTAGCCTGCTGGGTTTCCCAAGATAATTCGAGAACCATTTTGATGCATCGTCTCCTTCATCCAATGCAGAACCACTCCACTCCCACACAGAAACGCCATCGGCTGTTTCAGGTGGTTTAATCAATGGGACCTTCAGCACATCCATAGCAGGAGCCCTTATCACTACAGAAGGATGTAAATCATGGGCATTAATAAAGTATAGTCTAAATAGCTGTTTGGGAGTATTTATTATATTTCCAGTGTCTAAATACCTAAATATGAGCTCTTATTTGGTTCCCAATCATCGAAAAATGCCTCATTAGGCAGCTCCACTCGAACCAGAGCAAGCTTTGGTTCCACTCTTTGAGTATATGCCCTGCCTTTGGAATTCACTACTATCCATTGTCTATCCCACCGAAATCCTGTTTTCACCGACTAGATTGGTTTTAGTCATCACATCAGTTTTCACTATAATCCTTCAACATGCAACATATGGTATTATTTTTAGAAATTATAAATTGCATCAATTACTTTGGAACATTGCACTTTTGTAACTCAATTGCTACAATTTGAGTTCATGAAACTTTGAAGGCAAGTATGCCTCGAAACCGTTGTAGCACCACATTGGTATCAAACTTTGAAGAAGCAAGGTAGCCGACCGGATTACTGAATTATCGAACAGCAGGATAACCAGTGATGGTCTGGTTTTTCTAACAGGCCGAGTCGCCCCGGCCCGTGAAACCACTATATTTCAGTCATCAAAGAATTTTTCCAAATTATTCTTTCACGTCATTCAAAGCAGATTTTTAACGGAAAATGTGCTGCAACATGTATAAATCAATGAATCATGCTATGCTATGTGTACAAACTAAATTGACAAACTTGGTTTATTGTGTTGGCAACATTTAAATTAATCATTTCAAAAATAATTTTTGAAATCAATGAAAACCAAGATGTCGCCAACACTTATTGTGTAAATAAACTTTATTTTAATTTGTACAACTAGATTAATCGTAAATCAATTCATCCTACGGAAATCGAAAACATGTTGCGACCAACTATTGATGAAAAGTCGAACCAGAGAGATAGAGAGAGATTGGAGATGATGATACCAGTGGAAGTGATGGATGCCTGAGAAACAGAAATTCCGGCGCATGATTTTATTGGGTATATAAATATTGACTTAACCTTCGCCGCCGCCATGTCTATGGTGTCGCTTCTATCAATTAAACTGTTTACTCATTGTGTGGGAACTCTTTTATAGATTTTTCATGTACCAAATTGTCAGCTGATACACTGTTACACGTGTAAAACAGGTCGTATACCCTTTCCGAATGTCGCTCTTCAATGTACGTCAGTATTTTGGAACTATTGCTCTCTCTCTCTCTCTCTTAATCTGGATAAAAAGTTGAACACGTTTCTCAAACATGACAGCAGGGATCAGTGGCCTTTTTTTGACGATTGTCTCACAGTGGTACTAATTTCTTTGAAAAACAAAAAAGTCGAAAGAAACAAATTGAGAGTGCGTTTGAGCTACATTATTTTTTAAGAATGTATTTTAAAATAATAAATTGATGAAAAATATGTGGTTAAAAAAGAATGAAAAATAGTATTTTTATTGAAAAATGCGTGGTTGAAAATGAGTAGAAGGATTAGAATGAAAATTTTAATGTGGCTCAAACATCAGCTGAGGCTAAAAACTTTTGCTTTTTTGACAAAATTCTAGCTGAGGCTAAAATTCTTTACCAATAATTTTAATCATGCCATGTTTTACCAATAACTTAAATCATGTCAAGTTGCATTTTTTCCTCTTAAAAGAGAAAATAAAAGAATATTTTCGTCCGAAAAGTTTTTTGTTCTTATTTTGTCTTTTATCCCGAATTGGTATGACCATCTTATCTTTAAAATTTTGTGAAAGGAAAGATTCTCTATAGATAAAAAGTACAAATATTTTCTTAAAAAGGAGATAAATTTCTTTATTTAAATTCTACCTTCAACACCACCATCAAATGCCGATTGAATTCGGGATAATTTTATCGAACACTCGTAAATAAGCGGCAAGAAGATTTGAACTCAATACCTTTACATGCCTCCATATTACGTTATGCTTCATTTAAAACTTCTGAGAAGGAATTTAACACGCTATCCAAAATATATAAATATTTTAAATTCAAGTCTTGCTAAAAAAGTAAATAGGAGTAATGAAAAGCATAAAATGAGAATAAGCACCAAGACTGTACAAAATTAAAATGCACGTCTATAATATCTTGATTCATTTATCAAGAGTTATGTCAGCCAAAACATATCAAAACATGACAACCGAAAGTGAGCGTTTACAATCACGTATCATTCGTCAAAATCCAAAAGATCATTGGAAAAGAATTAGCAATATTGTCCGGAAATAATCCTTCCTAAGAAACATGGAAGTAATGCCGTTCAAGACCACAGTTGTTCTCTATTTGCCACTCTTCTTAGCACGCTTTCCTTGGCCCTTCTTTGGTGGTCCCTTTCCACGACGTTTCAACATTTCAAGCTTGTTTAAGCGCCTGTCCACAATCAATCAATTGAGTTTCGAGAAATGATTCAGACTTGTAAACACAACTTCAACCTAGTCAAAAAACACTCAGAACAGAATCAAAGTTTCACTTTCATAGTCACTCTACATAACTAGCCTTTGACTTTCTTTAATATCTTGGAAATAGGCCATCTATCGAACTGTAGATGCAACTAATTTTAAAGATATCCTTCCAAACGCAGGCACGGACACTTTGACATGTTTTTCCTTTTCTGTCTTTGGTCTTGGGGATTTGAGGACAAAATTTTCGGGAGGGGGTTGATATGATTCTAGAACACCTAACTTCTCTATGAAACTCTGAATAGAATTTTACCTTTAACTTATACTACTATTTTCAAAACTTTTGTGCATAATCAAATATCTAATCTGTCTGGACAAATTTCTTCTACTCAGTCATCCAGAAATATCTTCAAGCATCATGGAGGTTTATAAATTATATATTCCATGGAAGGTACAAAGTGCAAAGGGTCCACTAACCAATCTTTCTACAATTCCCTCTACAGATAATAGATGTGACGTTGAACGTCCATGAAAAATGCTGTAAGATTCATTCTTTTCTCTGCCTTCCTATCTCAGATTTAAAATACTTAAGGCAACAGCTTGTATATGAGAGTAGCATCTAATACTTTTTTAATTAGTCTTCAAAACACAGATGATTTTCTCCCATAATACTTGAAATATTCACATTATACTACAAAAGCGTAACATCCTTTACCATGATAACAAACACATAAAGAAGCATGCACAATAAATAACGGATGGTAGTTAGAGTTAGGTGATTTATTACTCTTGTTCTTGACGGGCCATGATGAGGGGGTCATCTTTCTTGATGTCGTAAGGGTACCACGAGGCCACCTTCTCACCGATAAGCTTCTTGCGCAGAATCTTGTGGGGAGATCTTTGCCCAGTTGGGTTGAGCACATGACCAAATATCTGAGCCCTTGCCAATTCCACACCCTTTAAGGCTGCATCGGCCAATACATTCTTCATGCTCCTAAGGTTGCCGCTCATATCTACGATCTTTTTACTCCCTATCTCAATTTGTTAAAAAGAAAGAAAGAAAGAAAGAAAGAAAACCCAATATAAATAGTGGTGATATTGAGTTTACAATGTAACAGAAAAAATTGTACGTGAATATTTTCTATGGGGAAGACTATCAAACAGTTGATATGCAATGTGGGAAGCAAAGGAATCGAAACACGTATTAACAAAGGAACAATGATCTAGAAAGCAAAAATAAACTAATCGAACGCACATGGAAACATTGATTTGCCTCTAAAACACATATGAACTAAACTGTGTACTTTTATATTGCAAAGAAGACGAGAAAAATGGCTGTCCCGAATAAGAAATGAGATTATTTCTCAAACCGGTCGTTACCACTCAACTTAACCAAAACCTCTAAAAGCATTCATGCTTCATTTCGAGAGCTTCCACGATAGATTCAGGAAAAACCAAATTTTGACTAAGCCCTAAATTATGCCCAAACATAAACATTATTATTTCATGGACGGGAAAATACTTTCAATCATCACATCAATTATCACTATAATCTTTCAACATACAACGTATTGTGATATGTTCAGGAATACATTGCACAATTACTTCTTAATTATACTTCTTGTAACTCAATTACTACCAAACTGGAATAAAAATCAACAACTAAATGCTAAGAAAAGAGGACTGAAAGTCAACGGTGGGAGCTGCGAACTGTGAGAGAAGTTCTTCTTCAAAAATTAAAATTAAAATTATGCAACAAAATATTCTAATAGATGCGTCCGGGATTTAGATATTCACCAGGTTGATCAGTTGCTGCAGAGGAAAAATAAATGGGAGAAGAAAGTCTGAACTTCAATGAATTAGGGTTCTGGCTATCTGATTCAAAAAGAGTTTTCTAGGTTCTAAAATCATCGGGTACCGGTGAGTTAGTGGTTCGGCCTGATCTTATTTTTAATTTTTTACTCTTTTTTAAAGCAAAAAAGAAAAAATAAATTTCCGATTAGAAAATCATTAATTTGTTTTGACATAATAATTGAAATAAAAATACAATTCCAATTTGCTTCTGCCAAAAATTTCTATATAATTTGCAAGCGAGTAAATTATAAACAAAGATAGCAATAATTCTCATATATTTATCATAGCCACATTTCAAGATTTCAAAAGAAAATTGAAAAGCATGATTTTATGTTTAATAATTCGTGCAAGATAATTTTTATTATTTAAAATTTATCAATCATATATTTATCATGGTCGCCCTTTAAACTTTTGAATAAATTTTAAATAACTGAAAATGAACATTTTTAGTGTAAAATACGAACCAAACGTAAAAACTAAAGAAAAATGAAATTAAGAGAAATTGGTGTGAGTATGGGGGTTGAGGGTGAGAAAATAAAGTTCGAAAAAAAGATATTGGAATGAGGTTGAGATTGAAAAGAAACATAAACAATCACGACTTTACGTTTCACAATTAATGTAAAATTATTTTGATATTTAAAATTTATCGATCATATATTTATCATGTCCGCACTTCAACATTTCCAACAAATTTTAAATCGCTTAAAACTAATATTTGTTACATAAAATACTGAATTAAATGTTTAAAAAAAAAGGGTTTAGCCGAGTCGAGCCGTCAAGCCATTTGGCTTGTAAATAGTAACCAAAACTAATCAAACGTAAAACGAAGAAAAAAAAACGGCTTAGTCGAGATGAGCCATAAAACCATATGGCTCGGACAAAAAAAAAAA